GGCTTTGGTTTCAAGCTTCTGTCCGTTCACCTTCCCTCTTTGTTGATTACTAGTATAGTGTTTTATCTTCTCAATATGTGACTTCAATTGACTGCTTGGGTGGCACATTTATGTGTGCATTTGGACTTTTTTCTCCTATAAATATAGCTAATTTGTTGCAGGAAAAAGGTAGTTATTTGCTGAAATCTAATCCAAACCTGAGGGTTTTCTTCCTAGCTTGAGAGATATCTTCTTCCTACACCTATTTCTTCTTTCTGGTCTTCCATCTATTTCTTATCTCCATGTTTCCCTTCCACTTGTACATTTCTTCGCCAAATATAATAAGTGTGAGGTGTAGTTGAGCCTGTTTGTTGGTATTTGCCGGAGGAGTACCGACTTGAGCTGGATCAAACTTTCTATGGCAAACTATTGGTTTGATTTTCCTTTGATAACCATTCTCTAATTTTCAAATTTGCAGATGAGGTGACCTTTCTAGGTTGTTCTGAGGGTAGTTTATTTTTATGTTTTAGTCTTTTTTTTGGCAAGGTTACCTAATCATTTTCTTACATCTGTTTACTATTAAGTTTCATTCTGTTGGTGTTGGTTTATGTTTTAATGAAGCAAGTATCTTGTTGCATATCTTATGTTATCCTACTTGGCTATAGAACTTAGGTTCCATCAAAACTAATGATCTGAACTCAATGAGCCGCACATACACCCTAGTACATGTCCTCGATGTTGACTTCACAATCTGGCAAGTAACTAAAGACCTACTTTGCACTTAAGCATATATAAGTGTTTTTCTGAAAAGCTGCTCTTTCCTGGTGGTAATCAAAAGAGCTTCTAGTCAATTCAGCATCGCCAAAAACCATAAGCTAAAGCTATTTAACGTAACTTAACCTCTTAAGCCTCAAAATCTTGATTTCGGACAAAATATTTATAACACTACTGAAACAAAATTTGTTCCATTTCAGTCAATCACATTTAGAAACACTACCGTTGCCAGGTCCCAAGTCCTGGATGAGAAAAATAGAGGGTTGCGTTAGGTAGTCGAAGAAACTTGAAATATAGGTTCCCTTATAGGAAAATTAATAGAATTAATAGATATTATGATTCATAGGAAGATAAATATTTTGTGCATTCAGGAAACTAAATGGGTTGGAGAGAAGGATAAGGAAATTGATAGTTTATGATTTAAACTTTGGTATTCGGGCAGGAGTCGTACTAAAAATGGTGTAAATGTTATTATAGATAAGGGTTTGAAGGATAATATTATAAAAATTAATAGGATTTGAGATAGAATTATAGTTTTAAAGATTATTATTGATGATAAGATTGTTAATATTATAAGTGCTTATGCTCCTCAGGTAGGTTTGGATATGAGTTCTAAATTAAACTTTTGAAATGACTTAGAAAAATTATTACAAAAGATATCTCTAGAAGAAAGTTTTTATTGGAGGAGATTTAAATGGACATGTTAGTAGAGAG